TTAAAGTTAATTTAGTTTTAACAAAACAATTATGAATTTCTTGGATAATCTTAATATTAATTTACGGTATGATATTTATTTGCAATATTTGATTCATATTATTTTTCCACCATACGATTGTTACACCTTTACCGTTCCAAAGTCCAATTCTGTACATAGGCCTTCCTCATAGAACCTTGTTTGCAGTAAAAAGGGTCTCCGGCTCTCTACACTTACCATACGAAACACAGCTGCATTAAGCTGCTTAAGCTGGTATCCTCTAAGAGTCCTACTCCGGTTAAGACGGCACATTCGTGCTACAACCATAATATATGTAATACTAAAATATATATATATATATATATATATATATATATATATATATATATATATATATATATATATATATATATATATATATTTGCAGCGTGGTTCTTCTACGTATAAATGTGTGACGTAGTGGTGGCGTGATCTTATGGTTCGTTTACCCGCCATGGGTCCTACAGGTTTGAAATTTGGCGAAATTTTTGCTTTTGTCGTTTTGAGTACAACTGCGAACAAATTTTACGAAATTCCACTCTCGAAGGGGATTTGCGGGTTGGTATTAAAAAAAAATATTAATTATAATTCGAGCTGTAATGAATAATAAAATTGATGAATTTTTTGATGGTCCCTGGATGGCTTAGATTTACATTTGAACCGGACAGGTGACGCCGTTGTCGAGATCCAGAAATGTACATATACATATTAGACATGTGTCAATCATGCATGATTCGTTCGTTTGAGCTGGTACACTTAAAGTATTGATGGTTCATTCATTTGTTTTTTAATGTACCACCATCACAAACAATTGACGGTACCTTTTTAACCCGCGATCCCGAATGATCTGAATAAACAGACGAATCGAATAAACAGTGCAGACTGCAAAGTATCAGGAGTATTTATTATTTAAGGGTATTTTAATATATCTAATATTGTTACCTAAATTAAAAAATATTTTACATTTTATTTTATTATATTTATTTGTAAAGTAAGGTAAAGTTAACTAAAAATAACACTTCAAAAGATTTCATGACAAATGATTTATTTAATGATAATTTTCAACCACCTTATATAAGTATAAGATAGGTAAAAGTTTAATTTTGTAGCAAATAAATGTTACAATTCCTATTTTTAGACATGTAAAGTGAAATGAAATTGTGTATTTTGATTAAAACTACTTTTACGGATTTTATCGCGTTTTATTTATTTTATTTTTAAACCCGACGTTTTGGGTGCTTTCCAGCACCCATGGTCACTAGACCCAAGCATACCACTGCAAGACTTCAAAACACAGTTAGTTCATTCTGCGTAGATCGGACCAAAGACAATAATTAAAAAGCTGAAGGTACTCCGGGTTAACTTTGACATCGGGACGTCAGTCACCTCAGTCCCCCCGTGACCATGGGTGCTGGAAAGCACCCGAAACGTCGGGTATTAAAAATAAAATAAATAAAACGCGATAAAATCCGTAAAAGTAGTTTTAATCAATGTATAGTTTTCGCGTAAATATAAGAAATTGTGTATTGTTAGGAATGAAATTTAAGAATAATCAAATTTATTAAATATTTAACATATATGATAACTTGAAGTTTTTTTTTATTTATGCCATCTAGCGTCAATCGTACTTACCACCTTGAAAGTCAATAAGGTTTAGTTCGATAAAATAACTTTATTACCTATAGCATGTAATAGATGGCGCTATTTCAAATATAAATTTTTCGGTTCCCAATGGATCTCACAGACTCACAGCTCACAGAGTACTGGAGCCCGAAATGATCTATTTGAATGATCGATCCGAATGTAACAGTACGCGTGACGAAATGTACTAGAATGATTCGCTCGCAAGAAATGAATGATTGACAAATGTCTAATACATATAAATAAAATTGGATTGTCTATCTGTATTCTCTAAATAACTGCCATGTGTCGAGCTCAGAGGGTTTCATGCCATAGATTACAAGTTAATCCAATTGAGTCATTCCTTGACTTTTTCCACTGGTTTGGAAAAATGTCTATATCCTGGGAAAAGCCTACAAGAAATCGAGCTCCACTTTTTATTTTAAAATTTCGTTATACAAAATGCACAGGTTATACAAACTACTCACAAAACTTATTTAAACAATAGTTTGGAAGCGACCACCTCATTTCCATGGGTTATTATTCATTTATATTATAATAACCACAGAGAGACATTTTTGTTTAACAACATATTTAAACTTGATTTGCAATTGGTCTCCTAGTTCACCATCTTGACTTTATTACAATTCGAATATAATATAAACATGAAGTGAGCACTGTATGTGAAGAGCGAATATCCCATCAAAAACATAAATGTGAAAGAGAGCCTAGTTCAATATTATAATATATGCCTTGGTTGTTGACTTCAACGACAAAAGAAGCGAGATCTAAATGGGTGCCAAGTTCAATGGTCAGCCCTGAAATTTATTTATAACAACATAAAATATCGTTTCTTCTTATAACTTAGGATGATATATTGTAGCCTAAGACTTGGCTAGTTCTCATATACGAATTATCATGTTCGATGGCTAGTTTTTACCAGCAAGCCAAATTTTCGTAATAATAAAATAAGAACCGACAAGTAACAGGTTTAGAACTGGCGAAGGCTTTAATATAATTCGTATGTGAAGACTAGCCAAGTCAGACCTTAGGCTACAATATATCCCCCCCCGAACGGGTTCCCGCCTTGTCGTGGCGGGGGGGCTTAGTAGCCGTGGCTTGGTCTCCCACGGTGAACGAAGAGGAACCCACGTGGCTGGCCCGAGGTGAAGGGCCGGCCTGAGGTGGCCGCTCCGAGTGGGCTTGGGGAGCCCACTTCGGATGTGTGCTGGTGGACTGCAGCGAGTGGGGACTCGCGCACCCTCTACCGCTGCAGCCGAGGTGGAGTCGCGGAGGAAGAGGAGTGTTGGTATGGCGATGCGCCACTCGCCCTATCCTTCGCGACTCAAACGGGGCCGCACCGTTGATGCGGTGGTGGTGGGGCTGCGGGGGGAGAGGATTGTCGGTATTGCGAGGCGCCGCTCTCCCTACCCTCCGCAGCCGAATCTTGGTTGGCGGCGGAGGCATAGCTCAGATCCGCCGCTGGGGTCGGGAAGGCTAGTACTTCAAAGTGCTCGTTTTTCCTGGCCCCATGGCCTTTGTGCATCGGACGCGGGGGCGTCTGTTGCACAGACGTAGTTGGAGGCCGTGGAGGAAGGCGCGCCATGTGTTCTGGTGCGCCTTACCCGGGAAGGAGAACGGGGAGGAATTTTCCTCTCCCGAGGAGGTGCTGCCATGGGGCGGCAGGCGCCAGTAGGGCCGCGGATGTGTGCGAAAGCGTTCCCGTAGCCCTGCCAATATGCGACAAAGGTGGAACACCATGGGGTTTTAGTCGGTGCGAGTCCGACATAACCCGTCCTTGCCCCCCGAGGCGGGTATGCGTAGGCATTTCCCCATGCAAAAAAAAAAAAAAAAAAAAAAAAAAAAAAAAAAAAAAGGCTACAATATATCATCCTAAGTTATAAGAAGAAACGATATTTTATGTTGTTATAAATAAATTTCAGGGCTGACCATTGAACTTGGCACCCATTTAGATCTCACTTCTTTTGTCGTTGAAATCAAACTAAGGTATATACCATAATATTGAACTTGGCTCTCTTTCACATTTATGTTTTTGATGGGATATCACTACTTTTTGAACATAAATTATTAGAAGGTACTTATTTATAACAAAATGGTTTTTATTAAACTGCTGTATTTTCTACGTTTACGGAGTATAATTGTCTTTTGTGTGTTATTTTCTATAATTTATTGTACCTTTGATATGTTTAAGTGAATTACTCATTCAGTATCCGGAATTTTTTTCACGCATTTTCTGTTTATACTTAATTTGCCCAAGTCGGGGCGGTATAACGAGCGCGGACGGTTGTACTCTACAATAGAGCTCTCTTGTGACTTGATTTGACTTGGATCTAAATTGATAAGATGTACTCCATCTAAGGTTTTAGCTAGAGTCTATGTCGAGAAGAGCACTGTCACGGCTAAGGCCTTGTGATTTGTGGATAGTAATAACATATGCTAAGCAAATAGGGAATTATTCCATGTGAACATATACATTACATAATATCTGAAACGGCGATCGCATGGAATAGCAAGCTTCCATCGGAAGGCATTGGAATAATTCGGTGTAAGATAAGTGTGTCACCCACCCGTAATTCTATTGTACGACTCATTGTACAATATAGGTAATAAAAAATAATTATTTAAGACGATTACATAACAAATTACCTGTTATTTATTGAATTCTCAAGAAAATTTGTTACCATAACAATAAAGTCTCATTCTCACTCACTCAGAGTTGGGTATACATACCTACTTATTATAACTATACTAAAATTATTATTAATTTTTGACTTAAACTATTTCCTATACCATGTAGACATGCGGTGCGTGCTTACTAAAAGAATTGTAATAATATTATAACCACAAATATATAAGTATTTTTTAAGAAAACCTATTAATTTCGTAGCATAAATCGCCACCTCATAGAGACAACCGGACAGCAAAACGGCGCTCGCGTTTATGAGCGCTGCTGCCAGTGCCACCTGCCACTCGCTCGGACCTCGGACATGTTCGCGTCAAGGTTTTATTGGTAGGTAAGGTGGATGATGGAATTAAATAGAATGCGCAAAGGGCCGCTGCCTGGAGGTCGCCAGGGCGCGTCTGGAGCTGGCGCTGGTCGCGGCAGCATGCGAACCGCCAGCCGAGCGCGAGGTGCTGCACGACCACCCAGCATCCCCTCGCATCCATCATCCCCACCAGCTGGCTTGGTGTCGGCAGGGTCTTCGCGGGCCCAGCAATCGGCAGCCGCCTCTGGTGGAGTACGCCGCATGCGTTGGACAACCCAGATGAACAGCAACGCATTGCGGGCGTATTTTAGGGCGAAAGGGGGAGAAACTGGATGTTTGGCGTATCGGGCTAGGATGCATCGTCTTTTTGCTGAGCTGGAGCCATCTTTAACCGTCACAGAGCAAAACCTGGCAGACCGAGTTCGGTATATCTTGCGCTCAAATATATTTGATGTCGCCGAACTCGAACGGCTACGACGTGAGGCTGTTCCCTCGTCGGATGAGAATGCTACGGCTGAGGATGCGGCGCCACAAATGGTAGAGTAACCCGCAAACGTGGATGCCGCCGTGAATACCCCAGTTGTGGTTGATTCAAACGATGATGGAACAGTCGCCCAGGAACTGGAATTAGAGCATATGAGGAGTACATTGGAAGAGGCGATTGTGGAAACGCGCAGTACGTAAGCAAGCGGAATCGGGCTGTCGTGAGGGCTCTGAACCTAATGCTGGTGACCTATTTGGAAGCCAGCCGGGACCTTTGCGAGACGGACTCAATTCTTTTTGGCGCCGCGCTGGCAGTCTGCCGTATTATAGGCGCCAAGGTTTCCACGGCTGGACGCGCTACTGGCCATAGTAGCGCTATCCCAGCATGGAGAAGAAGAATTGAGGAACGTATCGCAAAGGCTAGAGCTCTCATCGGCAGACTGATATGCTTCAGATCAGGCAACAACAGGCCAAAAATTGTGCGCACCGTCAGGATGGCGTTTGCTGGGACAAATGTCAGTTTGTCCCAGCCGGATATAACGCAAAAACTGACGGAGCGCATAGATGATCTGAAGCAGAGAATCGCTGCTTGAGGAAAGCGGATTCGGCGATATACCGAGAGGTCGACACGGTTCAACCAGAATCGTCTCTTCCAGAGTGATCAGAAGAGGCTCTATGAATCATTGGAGCGACCAATGGTAAGTGGAACGGGTCCAGCACCGAATCAGGCCGACACTGTAGCATTCTGGCGCGGCCTGTGGTCAGAGCCCGTAAACCACAGCGAGGGCCCTTGGACGGAAGTTGTGGCGAGTCAGTGTGCGGGTATTACGCCCATGGACCCCGTTATTATAACGCCGGATGACGTAGCTGAGGCGGTCCGTAGGCCCCCGAACTGGAAAAGTCCGGGGCTTGACGGCCTGCATCACTACTGGCTGAAGGGGTTCATGGTGTGTCACTCTGTGCATGCCCGACAGTTTCAAGAGGCTCTCAACCAGAAGTCGCTCCCAAGCCTCTTCACTACTGGGATCACTCATTTGGTTCCTAAAGACCAGGGTACCACAGACCCGAGCAAATACCGCCCCATCACGTGTCTACCGACCATATACAAGACACTAACATCCATTTTGAGCGCGAGAATCACTTGTCACCTGGACTCAAATCAGGTGATGTCGCGCGCTCAAAATGGATGTCGGGGCGGTTTTCGTGGAACCAAGGAACCACTCCTCATTGACGCGGTCGTTGGCAAAGTGGTGAAACGCAACCGTCGGAACTTCTCCGCCGCCTGGATAGACTGCAGAAAGGCATTCGACTCGGTGCCCCATACATGGCTAAAGAGAGTCCTCGAGCTGTACAAGATAGACTGTACAGTTAGAGACTTCCTCGAGCAGTGTATGGGGTAGTGGAGTACGATCCTTTGTCATCTGGGCGAGCGGATGATGGCTGCTGAGAACCACATAAGGATAAGAAGGGGTATCTTCCAGGGCGATTGTCTGAGTCCAATCTGGTTCTGCCTCTCTCTGAACCCTCTCAGTACCTTACTGGAGGGCTCCGGGAGGGGATTTCAGCTACGGAAAGGAGGGACAAAAGTGACCCACCTTTTCTATATGGATGACCTCAAGTTATTCGCCTCCAGTCTCTCCCATCTTATAGAATTGCTAAACAACATTTGTGAATATAGCAATTCCATTGGAATGGAGCTTGGGACGGATAAGTGTGCGGTCCTCCATGTTGAAAGGGGAAGGGTTGCTAACTCTGAGAGCGTAGACTTATCTATGCCCGTCAACTTAAGGACCCTTTCCGAGGCTGAAACATACCGATACCTGGGTATGTCACAAAACATCGGTATCGATGAGACTGGTATGAAACAGTAAGTTTGCGACGTGTTTTATGCACGCTTGACCAAAGTGCTTAACAGCCTTTTGTCCGGTGTGAATAAGGCACACGCATATAACGGCTGGGTCATGCCTGTCCTCATGTATACCTTTGGCATACTCAGGTGGACTCAGACTGAACTTAACGCCCTGGATAGAAAAGTCCGCACTACCATGACGTCCCATAGGATGCATCATCCGAGATCGTCGGTAATGAGGCTGTACTTCTCGCGGAAGCATGGTGGTCGTGGCTTCTTGAGCGCGCTCACCATGCATAATCGCGAAGTGTGCAGCCTCCGTGATTACTTCCTGGCGAGATCGGATGATCCATTCTATAAGGACGTCATTTCTTGTGATAAAGGACTTACCCCTCTATCCTTAGCCAACGAGCAATGGCAAGACCCGGCAGTGCAGAGCATTTCCGACCGGGAGACCGTATGGAAGGAGAAGGAGCTCCACGTGAGGTTCTACAAGGCTCTACATGAGCCTTTCGTAGACACAGTAGCCTCCCTCCACTGGCTACGCTTTGGTGATCTCTTCGGGGGAAACCGAGGGTTTTGTCTGTGCAATACAGGATCAGGTTATTAAGACCAACAACTATCGGAGATACATCCTAAAGGATGGCACCGTCGACATCTGTCGAGCTTGTCGCCATCCCGGTGCGTCACTTAGGCATGTTATCTCCGGTTGTTCGGCGCTTTCTAACTCTGAGTACTTACACAGGCACAACCTAGTAGCCAGAATTCTACACCAGGAGCTCGCTCTGAAATACGGTCTCGTGGATCGGAAATTGCCGTGTTACAAGTACTTGCCGGAAGCCGTGCTCGAAAATGATCGCGCCAGGCTCTATTGGGACCGGGCCATCATCACAGACAGGACTATTCTTGCGAATAATCCTGATATTGTGCTGATGGACCGGGCACAGTCAAGGATATTTTTGGTCGACATTACCATTCCGTATGACGAGAACCTCGTGAAAGCCGAAACAGACAAGCAAACAAAATATCTGGACCTGGCTCACGAGGTGACCGACATGTGGGGTGGTCTGCCGACCAAAATTATTCCTGTAGTCGTCTCTGCAAACGGGCTAATCCCAGTCAGCCTCTCGGGTCATCTGAGGCGGCTGGGACTACGTGGCGGACCGCTCCACGTTCAAATGCAGAAGGCGGTGCTCCTCGATACCGCCCGCATCGTCCGCCGGTTTCTTTCCCTTTCCCCCTAACCCTCGGCCGTTTGGTGTCCCCTGCCGAGGGCCTCCATCTGGTTGGGCTTTTATTTATTTATGTACTTTTATATTTATTTTATGTTATTGATATTTATGTATATTTATCTTTTCATTTTCATTTATAATTATATATTTATAGAACCCAACCAGATGAGAAAACTATATAGATATCCCATAATAATAATAATAATAATTTGGTCTCCCCTGCCGAGGGCCTCCATCTGGTTGGGCTTTTATTTATTTATGTACTTTTATATTTATTTTATGTTATTGATATTTATCTATATTTATCTTTTCATTTTCATTTATAATTATATATTTATAGAACCCAACCAGATGAGAAAACTATATAGATACCCCACAATAATAATAATAACTCCCCTGCCGAGGGCCTCCATCTGGTTGGGCTTTTATTTATTTATGTACTTTTATATTTATTTTATGTTATTGATATTTATGTATATTTATCTTTTCATTTTCATTTATAATTATATATTTATAGAACCCAACCAGATGAGAAAACTAGATAGATAGATACCCCATAATAATAATAATAATGTCTATTTTAATAAACTATACACTTAATTCAAATTTTGTCTTAATTTAAAATAGTCTACAATAACAAGCACCAGAACTAGGATGGACCTGTATCTCAGGTGTATGAGCTAAAAAATACATTAACAAATATTTTCTCTCACTTAAAACAACAACTTCTCTGTATCATCGTGTGACAAAATTTTTAACCATGTTTGAATTACATTTTTATGATCTGCCATTTTTAATGGATATATGTACAAAATTGCATTGACTTCATTATACAGAAAATATTTTTTTTATATCTTAATATGTTAATATATTTTTATATTTTACCTAATATATTTTGATTATATTGAAAGAAAAAAAATTAATACTGGTGTTTCGATAGAGTGTGGTTTGCAAGATGATGTTGTGACCAGGATTAAGAAAGGAATGCTTCGGTGATTTGGTCATGTAGAAAGAATGAATGAGGAAAGAATGATAAAGCAAATTTATGTTACAGAAGTGAACGGTAGAGTCGGAAAGGTACGTCTTAGGCGAGTTTATCGACTAATTTGGCGATATATTGAAAATGGGTCAAATTAGGAATACCCTTAACCAACGAGCTTGTATGCGTAGGTATATGTATGTGAAGGAGGCGAAAGATGTGTGTCAGGATCGTGCCAAATGGAAGTTTATAGCCTCTGCCTACCCCTCTGGGTGACAGGCGTGAGTGTTTATGTTATGTGTTTATTATGTGTTTCGATATCTTTGGTTGCAGATCTCACAAACTGAAGTCCTTCTGGTTCAGTATATCAGACGAGCCGCTGCCAGCGCTGGACTTCCTCTCTGCTGCCCTGCTCTCAGCAGAGTACGAGCGTGCGTTGGGTCGAGCTCTCGCTATGCCCGAGTGTCGACTCATACCGTTTTTTGGTGCTTTCCTCAGAGAGCTAAGGTAAGTTTTGTAGTACCAGCGGTAGCGTATGTTGAAGCGGAATCCTTATTTTCAGTTCGCTGCTGATAGTTTTCCTCCATAGAGGAGATATTTGCCATAGTTGCCATGCCAATTAACCGGGTTGGTAACCACATTTTTTTATTCTATATTAAGAAGAGGCTGCTGCCCATATACCGATTTGTTGCCCTCTGTCGCCTCAACAACCACGGGATGATATGGAGGTTGTGGATATTCTTATATCATCACTACTCAGTTAGTAATTTTCTTGTTGATATACTGGTGACCTTTTTTATCGTCTGGAAAAAATAGGGTGTAGTATGTGAATGGAGTAGTAGCCTATGGCACTGAATTTACAAAAAATAAAAACAAAAATTTCGAATTAAATAAATAATAAATTAAAATATATCGAATTATATCCCTTTTTATACGTGGTAGAGCCATGCTGCAGTTATATTAGATGTATAGTTGTAGCACGAATGGGTCGGCTCGACCGGGGAAGGACCACGCTCTCACAGAATACCAGCGTGAAATAGTAGCTTAATGCTGCTGTGTTTCGTATGGTGAGTGTAGAGAACCGGAGACCCTTTTTACTGGAAACGAGGCATTCCATCTTAGTCCTCACGGGTGACAACGCATCTGCATTTTGATTCGTAATTGAGGATAGATGTAGATGTCTATGGGCCACAGCAACCACTTACCATCAGGTGGACTGTGTGCTCGTTTGTCACCCTATCCTATAAAAAAAAATAATCCACCATACTTTACGAACGGCAATAGAACAAAAAAAAATTGTAGACATCTTTGACTTGACACTTCGCAGGGACACAGGTGGATATGATTTGATGAATTTCGATAGATTTTAATTTATTTATTTATTTAATTCAACATTTTTGTTTTTTTTTTTGTAAAATATCAGTGCCATAGGCTTCTACTCCGTTCACATGCTATTACCTATTTTTTTCCAGACGGTAGGTCATCCAGTATATTTTTTATTTACTTTTCCCTTATCTTGTGTTATTTCTATTTACTTCTAAATGAATATCTACAAAATATTTATAAGCGACAGTAGCCTAATGGCAGGGCGCGGACCGCGAAAAAAGGTCGTGGGTTCGAATCCGCCATTCGACCACTGGCGTGACCACTGTCAGCGTACACGAGTGGTTAAGGGTAATATTAGTAATGTTTATAGCATTGTTAATTTTCTTTTTTTTTTTTTGAATATCATTTGAGTGTATTGATGACAATAAAACATATGTCTTTGTACTATGTACTATGTTTTTTGACTAATGGTTATTGTCATTACTGTGATGTTGCCGGGTATGTGATGTGGTGGGATAAAAAATATTCATTAAATCTATCCCCACTTCATCCCGTGGGTATATGAAGTGGTTAGGGAAAATACTAGAAAGATCTTATCTTCATAGATACTCCCTAAAATGACCCATTCCCAGCTGAAAACTTTTAAGGGCTCAAGGATAAAGTATCTCCGTATATTTAACATGGATATTGACATATAACATAGACTCAAAGAGTTTCACTTAAAGCCACGCTTAAGAGGCGCGGGTAAATTATATATATATATATATAATTGGAATCTCGGAAACGGCTCCAACGATTTTCATAAAATTTAGTGTTCAGGGAGTTTCGGGGGGCAATAAATCGATCTAGCTATGATTTATTTTTAGAAAATGTCCTTTTGTCCGTGTTTTCAGGCAATAAAAAACTGCTACAATATAAGAAGGTAAATTTTGCCACATAACTAACAATCGTAATAGCTCAGGTGGGATGTCGGTCGGGCACGATATCGGAGTGCCGTGGTTCGCGTCCCGTCTCTGGTCCGGCTTTTTTCTTTTTTTTTTCAAGTTCCCTTTTTTGTCATAAAATCTATTATTTCAAGCCCTTTTTTTAATATTTTTTAAAAATATGAAAATTTTAATCGAACTAATTGCACTCATGATTTTTTGTTCAAATAACCCGTTCAGTTTTTTCTATTATGTCAATAAGATCAAAAGATATTATTTATGTTTCATTAGTATGTAATTTATAAATGTAATAAAAAAGCGAGCAAAGCTCGGTCATCCGGGTACTATATATATATATATATATATATATATATATATATATATAATATATATATATATAGGCCCATACACATCTATGTACATCTATTCTCGATTACGAATCAAAACGCAGATGCGTTATTACCTCTGAGGACTAAGATGTAATGCCTCATATTCAGTAATCCGTTTCTCTACACTAACTATACGAAACACAGCAAGATTTTTCAGTTTTATTGTAATGTCATTCTTGCTGCAACAGTAATATAGCTGCAGCGTGGCTCTACCACGTACGAAGTTTACTTCAGGATCAACAAAGACACCGCATATCGTCGTCCATTCTTCACAGCCTATCAAAGTCACTGATGAAAATAGGCAACCCCCTGGAATGTCTCGTGATTTTTTTTCATTTTTAGATGTCATCAGGAAATCTCTATCAGCTTTCTTTAGATTTATCTCACTCTGTCGCCTCTTACGGCACTCACGAGACGTTAAGGGGTAGTGGATATTTTTAACAGCCACTACACAGCTATGAATATGTTTAATCTACATTTTATTTAGTTTTAACGTGGTATATTATAATATTATATAATAAATATAAGCTATATTATAATTATTATTATTAGCACTAAGCTGTAATATATTACAGTATACTACAGCTTAATGCTGCTGTGTTTTGTATGGTGAATGTAGAGAGCCTGCGACACTTTTTTCTAGAAACGAGGCACTCCATCTTAGTCCTCAGGGGTGATAACGTATCTACATTTTGATTCTTAATCGATGATAAATGTAGATGTCTATAGGCTACAGCATCCGCTTATCATCATGTGGACTGTGCGCTCGATTGCCACCCTAATTCTATAAAAAAATAAAAAGATCATGATGAGGCGAGAGCTACGTCGCAATGAGTTATTTTTTTAATTACTTAGCGATGTCCAACGCAGCGATGGCGTAAATTGGCGCGCTTTATTTTATTTTGCGTACTCTTTGCGCTTACAACTGTCAAGACTACAATACTGGCCGCTTATAAATATTTGGTTTGTTGACATTTCACAATAGTGAGAATTTAAAAAAATGCCACGCGCATTTTATTGGATGTATTTTAGTAGTTATTTAACAAACTGGCTTGAAATCTATCGTTGAAATGAACAAAAAGTTCATGGAATACATTGAAATAATCTATATTCTGTATATATAAATGAAAGACCACCGACTGACTGACTGACTCACTAATCATGAGATCTTTAACACTATACAAACGATTGACGTGATATTTTGTAAAGTTCCTCATTTTTGCAATGTCGACGCTCATTAAGACGGATTTAACGTAAGTCCCATCAAAAAATTTTTATAGGTTCCGCAATAAAATATTATCGTGCGCCAGCGAAGCGAGCGGTTATCAGCTACGCAGTGCATTGCGCGTGGAAAAGGAGACAGAGTACGTACACGGAGTAGAGTTTTTATGGACACAGACTAAATAAGTTTAAATCCGGGGGCTCTATCCTCAAGCGCGTCTCCCATCCTCTTTATTATCCATTTTTCATATACTACAGGGCAATGGCTGCCTAATGCATCATGTAACAGGTGAAATGTAGGTGCAGGTAAGTTCAACGACCGAGAGGTCAATCAACGGGTTCAACTCGGCTGGGCAGCGTTCGGGAGATTACGACACATTTTCTCGTCAGGCATACCGCAAAACCTTAAAACTAGATGGTACAACCAAAGCGTGTTGCCAGTGATGAGATGAGTGACCTATGGATCTGAGACGTGGTCCTTCACTGCCGGCCGTATGAGGAAGCTCAAATTTGCTCAGCGAGCTATGCTCGGAGTTTCTCAGCGTGATAAATTTAGAAATGAGGATATCCACAGTAGAAGCAGAGTGACCGACATAGCCCAACGGATTAGTAAGCTGAAGTGGCAATTGGCCGGCCATATAGCTCTAGTTATAGCAAGAGTGGCAGCCTCATACCGGTAGGCGGAGTGCAGGGTAACGCCCCACTAGATGGAGTGACGACCTGGTAAGATATGCAGGAAGTTGATAGATGGCGGTGGCTCAGGACCGTGCTTTGTGGCATTCCTTGAGGGAGGCCTATGTTCATCAGTGGACTTAAAAGCAATAGCCGAAAACGCCGCGCTGCCGCAATGCGTGTTGGCGGACTTCATCATTATAATAATAATAATAATAATTTTTATTGACACAAAGTAAGGATTACATTATTTATCTTTAAGACATTTGAACAAATGTTATGATTTATAACTTATCTATACAATTTTATACACTAGCGTCTAAACTAGGCCGAGCCTGTATCTTAGACACTAGTCACTTAGTAGTCAGACAAAGGCACCATTATTTACAATTATAAAAGCATACGGCATATTATGATTCACTTAATCTATGTTTTACGTTACAAATTCGTAAATATACATTATCACTTTTTTGCGATTACCGTCACACTAACTTATAATGCGTATGAAAGGTTAGACTACTATACTATTTATAGGAACATTTTACAATTTCTTAATTTATAATGCAAGAAATGATTATTGTTATCACAATTTAGAGAACTATTTCTTTTGGTGACAGGTTAAAATGAAGTATTGCAAAGATATATGATATATAATTTTAGTAATTCTACAGGTATTTAACAAAAAGTTACGCAATGTACAGTGAACAGTCAATACATATTACATAATTATTTAATTCACGGTTTTTGCAAAGGTTTTTTTTTTAATTACATTTAGACTTAATTAAATATAGTTTTATAAATAATAAGTGAAATAATTTTTAATTATAGATAAAGTACTTTTAGTAGATAGTTAAATTATTCTAATGTAATGTTATTTTAAAGTGACCAAGAAATTTTTTCATTAGATGATGATGATGATATTTTTATAGCTTCGTGGCGCAGTGGCTCAGCAATGAGTTGCAGCGCTAAGGGTCGCGCGTTCCCCGTACAATCCCGCACGGAACAAGTATTTGTATGACCTACAAATAATTGTTCCGGGTCGGGATGTTTGTTCTTGTGTTTTTTTTTTTGTATTTAAGTTGCTACAGCAGATTCCCTCCGCAGAGATCGTGATCCACGGCGACTTTAACGCCCATCACGCCGCATGGCTTGGTTCACGTTTAACCGATTATGCGGGGAGATCTGTTCATGATTTTGCCTTGGCATATGATCTGACACAACTGGTTACTTCGCCTACGCGGATTCCAGATGTGGAGGATCATGCACCTTCCCTGTTGGACCTTCTGCTGGCCTCTCACCCGGACGGATATCAGATTTCCGTCGACGCCTCTTTAGGCTCCTCAGACCATTGTCTTGTCCGGAGTGTGGTGCCACTCACGCTGAAATCGCAGTTGCATTCTGCAGGCTGCCGCCGTGTTTAGCACTATAGGTCAGCTGATTGGGATGGAATGCGGTCTTTCTTTGCAATCCTACCCTTGGGGGCGGGTTTGCTTCTCGCCGGACGATCCCAACGTTGTGCGGATTCTGTCGCTGATGTGGTACTTCAGGGTATTGAACTTTTTATTCCTTCCTCTGTGGTACCCACTGGAGGCAAATCTCAGTCATGGTTTGATCGCTCCTGTAAAATAGCATCATGCTATAAGCAGGAGTGCTACCAAGCCTGGGCTGACGCATCAGCGTCCCGGGAAGTAAACACCAGCGCTCTAAAAAAGAAGTATAATTCCGCCTCTAGGTCCTTCAAAAGAGTCATTGCCAAGGCAAAGTCAGAGCACATAGGCAGAATTAACCCAATCTATATCTACAAAACACAAAAAAAACTTTTACAGAGTTAGTTGATTGGCGTCGACTCAAAATTACTTAGGTATACTTACATTAGTTTAAGAACTTAATTATTAAAGTTAGTTAAAAACTCAAAATAATTACAAATATATATATATAAAATATATATATTTGTAATTACCATGTCTAGCCCCTATTGGACATGTTCGTGCAAGAAGGGATCGGCTAATTTTAAACTAACTAATTAACACAAATGCAAATGTGTGTTTTTGTATATGTGTGTAATGTATTTCTTTTTTTCAACCGACGACAAAACGTAAGAGGTACTCAAGTCGACGCATATATTTTTTTTATATTTGACCACGCATAACTTTTTACAGAGTTAGTTGATTGGAGCCGACTCAAAATTACTTAGGTATACTTACATTAGTTTAAGAACTTAATTATTAAAGTTAGTTAAAAACTCAAAATAATTACAAATATATATATATATATATTAGGTACATTTACATTAGTTTAAGAACTTAGTTAATAAGGTAAAAGAAAAATGTTTATTATTTTTTGTTTTCAGTTTTTTCGGCGGTTTAATTTTTTTGTTAAAAAGTTTTTATTAGCTTTTTATCACACGCACGGTATCCCCTACTTTTAAATAAATTATAAAGGAATTACCTACAGGGTATAATAATTTTAATAGAATATCAAAACAACGTATAATCTCATAAATTCAACTGTTAACGCAGCGGCCCTGTGGCGCAACGGATAACGCGTCTGACTACGGATCAGAAGATTCCAGGTTCGAATCCTGGCAGGGTCGGCGAAACTTTTTTATATTGAAAATGTTTTTCTTTTTTATGTTTATGTTTTTTCGTGATTATTTATAAATGTTAGTTTTTATTTCAAAGGAAGGCTCCTTGATCTTTATAAATTTTTGCAGAAATACTGCACCAGTTAAACTATTAATGAGGGCTAATAAAATTGAGTTCACCAAGTATCTCTAGCTGGGACTTAGTGATCTTATTTATCACGGAAACAGTCACACAGTGTACATCATTAAAATGTTGCGGTTGAAACGGCTTCTAGTGTTTGAGACAATACTCTCACAAACTCAATACTCAATACACAATAACTTATTTGCGTTCCATTCCATAGGTTACAAAAGGTGTTTCATAGTTATGATATCTATAGATTGATTTATTTTGTTTTATTATTATTGTTAACTAATTATTTACTATTAACATTCATTATATTATTTACATACACACTTTGAATTTGAAATACGGTTATTATAACTGTTATCATTTATTACTGATTGTTATTTACATTAACAGTGCCTCAGTGCGGTGTTCTTTAGTTTTTTTACACATTTTTAATTTTTTCTTCTACTTTAAGTAATATCCGTAGTTTGGTTCATTTATATCTGAAGTAATTATCTTATTAATATAAAATGTAGCTTAAGTTAATCTCTGTACTAAAATAACATCCACCAACATTTATTTTTATTGACTAAGAGTGACCAAGGAGCACACAGTGCACCTGATGGTAAGTGAATGCTGTGGCCCATAGACATCTACATTTATCCTCAATTACGAATCAAAATGTAGATGTGTTGTCACCCGTTAGAACTAATATGAAATGAAAAGAGTGGATAGGGAGGTACTATGACAAACACTGAACTCATTTGGGTTGAGCGCTGGCTTGATACAGGCATTGGAGTCTCTTTATAGGGACTCTAGTGCTTGTGTTAGGATCAACGGGGTCTACTCGGACTGGTTTGACATCCATAAAGGTGTCAGACAGGGCTGTGTGGCTTCCCCGTGGCTGTTCAACCTATTTATGAACAGTTGTTTGGATTAAGAATGGGTGAGTTAACCGTCAAATGCCTTTTGTACGCCGATGATCAAGTTATCCTTGCGTCGTCGGCGGCCGAGTTACAAATGATGGTTACATTAATGAACAGATCATTAAAAGAAAGGGGTATGAAAGTGAACTCAAGTAAGACGAAGTTTATGGTTTTTGAAAGAGAAGAAAGTAAAACGATTTGTGAAATAAGAATAGAAGGGGAGTTGATCGAGCAAGTAGATGAGTTTTTATATTTGGGCTGCGTATTTAGCAGGGATGGGAGATATGATAAGGATATAGAACGACGAGTGAATGCGGGAAATAGAGTAAATGGGGCCCTGCACTCTATTGTGAAGAGTCAAAATGTGTCAAAAAAGGCACGTATGGCAATTCACAATGCTGTGTTGGTCCCCACTTTAACGTATGGTAGCGAAAGTTGGGTGTGGCAGAAGAAGCACGAGATTAGAATCAACGCAGTAGAAATGCGGTCGTTAAGGAGTATGTTAGGGCTGAATCTGAATGACATGGTAAGAAATTGTGTATTAAGAGAAGAGTGTGGTTTGCAAGATGATGTTGTGACCAGGATTAAGAAAGGAATGCTTCGGTGGTTTGGTCATGTGGAAAGAATGAATGAGGAAAGAGTGACAAAGAAAATTTATGTTGCAGAAATGAATGGCAGAGTCGGAAAGGGACGTCCGAGGCGAAAATTTATCGACCAAATTGGCGATTTATTGAAAACGGGCCAAATTAGGAGTACCCTTAACCGACGAGCATGTATGCGTAGGTGTATGGATGTGAAGGAGGCGAGAGTGGTGTGTCAGGATCGTGCCAAATGGAAGTCTGTAGTCTCTGCCTACCTCTCTGGGTGACAGGCGTGAGTGTTTATGTATGTGAAATGCCTCGTTTCTAGTAAAATGGGTCTCTGGCTCCCTACACTCACCATACGAAACACAGCAGCATTAAGCTGCTATTTTACGCTGGTATTCTGTGAGAGCGTGGTCCTTGCCCATTCGTGCTACATAATATAACTGCAGCGTGGCTCTACCACGTATAAAATATATAATATATAAGATAGTAATTAAAATCAGACGTTACTTTGCGGACATCCATTATATTAACGATGTTAAAACCTAAAAGCTCCGCGTAATCTTCTTTAATGAAAAATGACTTGCAATAAGAATATTTAAAATCTATGTTGAATAAATCTAATTCCATTTCTATTTCTAGCTCCGACGTCAGAAGCTATTAAATTATTTATAGATATTTTTTTTTATTAATTTTAGATGCTTGAAGTAGTTTTAGACTTTTTTTTAAATGTATACTTTTTTGTTCTTTGAATGTCTACGGAGCATATATTTTAGTCGTCCTCAAATTGAAACCACTATGTAGACGTAGACTATACGTTTTTAAGGTAGCAAGGATGACCAACGTTCACCCCACCATCAGGTCTAACTCTCAAGTTACATATTAATGTTTACAGAAATCCAAGCAAAATTTGATCCCAGCCCAAGCATACAACTGCAATAGTTCAGGTTACTATTAGCTCATTCTGCGTCGAATGGGACGTCGAATACGTCATTGAACCCATGACCATGGATACTGTAAAATATTCGTAACGTCGAATATTTAAAATAAGTTAACACACGCGATAAAATCCATAAAAATTATTTTCACCTGATGTTCAGTCAAGGTTACAAGTTTTACCAATGACTAAAATGTTTTATATATTGTTGCAGAGAGATCTTGGCCGCTACGCCATCTTTGACCAGTCAGTCAATGACCCCTACACCCACCCACAGAAGGGAATTCAAACGGGATTCAATTAAAGAAGACAGGTAAATAAAGTAACTTTTTCTTTGAGAAACATCAAGGATTTTCGTCGAGGCAATTTACACACATAAATTACACAAGGACAAAAATCCAGACCTGGAACAATTGTTTTGCTTATAAGCCATAGAACTAGAGTAACCCACATAGCCCATGGGATTAATAAGCTGAAGTGGCAATGGGCCGGCCATATAGCTCGAAGAAACGACAACTGATGGGAAATTAAGTTTCTCGAGTGGCAGCCACGTACAAGAGTAATGAGATTGTAAGATACGCAGGGAATGGATGGATGCAGCTGAGTATCGTGCTTCATGGCATTCCCTGGGTGAGACCTACCATCAGCAGTGAACTTATGAAGGACTGCGATGATGATGATAATGATAGGTCATACAAGTACTTTTCCGTGCGAGATTCAAACCCGTGGCTTTAAGGTGATACCTCGAAAATTTGGTGATTTTTCTATTTAACATATTTTTTTTAAGTTTTATCAATTACAAACCAATTTTTTGACTTCCCTTATATCTCCACGTTTCAAGGTCTTTAGAGTAGAATAGTATGGTTTTTATTGGTATATGATTTTAGATTATATGTCCTTGGATTTCATAAAAGGAAAACACGATAACATGTATTTTTCTCGATAGAAAAAATTGAAAATTAGGCTACCTATAATTAGTTACATTTCTCCATGACAGCACAATATTTTTACAAATAAGTTCATGGAGTTATTTTAAAGGCATAGTAAGTAATCATATCTAAGTTCCCATAAACTTTTTAACCCATAATAAAATTTGAAAAAAAAAACGAAAATGTTGTTTGGCGCTTACTTAGTTACCAACCGGAAGTCAGCTAAAGTGGCAGCGTAAGAAAATTTCGTTCCGTGGGTGTTGTCCGGGGCGATAGAAAGGGATCAAACCATGAGTTGGCTAGCGGCGGCTTCCTAATAAAAAAAAATTACGTTTGCCAACCTGAATTCCAACGCCTGAGATCCCCCCTCTTAGGGTATCTAAGAGGGAGGTCTATGTTTAACAATGAATTTTTGATAGACTGTAAAGGTTTGGCAGATAAAATCGATTTTTCCGGTCCGATTCGACTTCGGGACCTTCAGGAGAAGATCCTACTCCTTTCTTAAAGGCCACCAACACACCTGCCTGTTGCAGTCACATTTCCCTTGTTTTTCAGTCGGTAGACACTTATCATCAGCTGAGCTACTTGCTCACTTGTACACTGTAGTACGGTAATGTAGTCATCCGGTCAATATGGTCTCTTTCTTATTACTCGAAAACTAAATCGTTGTTTGCATAGATGGCTCTGTGATACGATAGCTCTTCATCAGTCAATCAAATAATAAAGGGTCAAAAGGGTGCTGCTTTATCGACGCCATTTTGATAGTAGACATTGGGTGCATTTGGCAGAAAAAAGCGCTAGCAAGCGCTTGTAAGCAAAATGGCGATCGTAAGCGGTAAGCGCTGTCAAATCGTAAGTAGCTATTTTCCTCCAGGACACGATGTTAGTTTTAACCGGGGTACCTAACCTAATTTAAATATATGTTTGTAAAGTATTCATATTAAAAACTTACCAATCATGAATTTTTAATAACATATATATGTTTATTCACGTCATTATATTACTTAAAACTAATATTGCACAAAACAACTTATAAACTCTACTTCAAAACAAACAAATTAAATAAGCAAAATGGCGGATTGTGTCAGCGCTACTAGCAATCGTGTCCTGGCCGAAAACTATTTCAGCGCTTGTAAGCGCTTACTAGCGCTTTTTTCTGTCAAACGCACCCATTATAGTAAATTTTGATAGTTAGTGTTCCTAACTATTGCCAAAGCTTGTTTGCTATTTTTTTTCTTAATATATTAGTTATAGTATACGACTTTGCGTTTTTGTCTTCGCCCTGCTCCTACTTTTGGTTTTATAGGGCGGCGAAGCTTAAGATGACCATAGCAATGTAATAACCACAGAGTAATGTACGTGATATTAACGTACATTACTCTGTGAATGCTAGGGCCCACTGAAAATCAACGCTGTTATTTCGGTGACAGCATAAGCTGAACGGACCTCCCTTTTGCCAAACGCCCTGCAACACAAGATTAGGAACATTTTTTGTTTACTGTAATCTATAAGTATACATACTTTTTAAATGTCTTATCCGTCAAATTGTTGTTTTTTTTTTTAATTTTTTTATACTATTTTTAATTAATGTGTCTACAAATGTGGCGAGGTGCAATATATGTTTCATTATTTTTTTATTTTTTCTTTATAGATATTATTATATTTCCTCTTTGTTCTGTATAGCAGAAGCTCACTAAGAAATGAAAGAAGAGAAGGTGGTAAGAGGGCGGACCAGAGTACCACAGCAAGTCCTTTAAGGGACAGTTGCAAACGGGACCCAAGATTAAATGAGACTAACAGACAAGTGGTAAGTGGTACCACTGACTATAACATGTGATAAAATTAAAAATTTTGTACAACCGACCTCAATTTATATAAAATGAGAACATCATCAATTTGGTCGAAGTCAATTAAATACACATTATTAAGGATAATTCAAAAACTACTCGTCAGAATTTAATCAAATTTATATAGGACCATATGAAAAGCATCAGCTTTCAGATAAAAAAAGCATCAAAATCGGTTCACCTAGAAAAAGTTCTGAGGTACACAAAAAAAGTCCAGACGTATTGAAAACCTCCTCCTTTTTTTAAATATGGTTGAAAACACAAAGGTCTTTCATTAACAGCCTTTGTATGTCCTACTACTTTTAAATCTTAATATATTATATAAATTACGTGTCACGTTGTTTGTCCGCGATGGACTCCTAAACTACTTAACCGATTTTAATCAAATTTGCACACCGTGTACAGTTTGGCCCAACTTGAGAGATCGGATGGTTTTTTTGCCCATGAGTAACCCATAATTTTTTTTTGCGAATTTGGGGAGAGGGGACATGACAGAGAGTTGTCGAAAAGATCATAACAACGTCTGCCTGGCAAGCTAGTGTTTTTCTATTTCTTCATGCAGAATTCCTCACGACGTTTTCTTGAACGTGGTAATACTAATGTTCCCTTTAACCATTAATAAACTAAAAATGATTGTGTTAGTAGTCGTTCACGACAGTTAACGAATGGCGGAATTGAATATAAGGTTGAGATCTATAGACCGTACTTTGATTTTGCTCAGAATTTGCTTTCGAGCTTTTTTTTGCGCCCAGAAGCATAAAAGGGCTACCCTCCGAAAAGCGGGGAAGGGAGGTGGTGAATTCTCAAAGCATACCACGCAGCCGGCTGCTTGGTTATGGTTCCACTAAACACCACCTGTGAGACTGGCTTTAATCTGGTACGATCGTTTAGCCATATCGGAAGTGACCCCGCTTGGGGAAAGGGGGTGGCGCTGAGAAGTGTGCCTAACTAAGGCAGATTAGGAGATGAGATCGGGGGAGACTCGGCCTGAGCCGCCAGGAGGCAGTTCAGGTCAGCCGAAAGCTTGTATGGGGGGTCCGAGAGAGAGTTTCTCGGCATGCGGAAACTATAGCGAGAGGGAAGTGGGGCTGCATAGGCAGCTGCCTCACGAATGAGTTTTTGAGCTAAGACAATGTCGGTATTTATCTAGAGCTAGCTTCGAAGTCGTGGTGAGTGCGCGCTTAGCAAAGCCTAAGTCATCGACTTATGAAAAACTCAAGATATTAACCAAAACCACCGTACTAGTTTTGAACTGTTGTTTTTGTGTTACTCTAATTATTTATAATAATAAATGAGAAGTTTTAGGCAGTCTTCTAGTTTTATAGGTATAATCGGGAGTCGAAGTTTCAAAGCCAGTCGTAAGAAAAATTTTAAGTGTTTTATTTTAAATACCTGATGCATTTAAAATATTTAAAAGATAACTTAAAATGCACACATCAACAAAACGAAAGACTTCACGTTAGAAACAGTGATTTGACAGCGCTTGACCGGCTGACCAAACTTTCGGTTTCTTTCTCATATTTTAAACTAAAATTAGTTAAATATAACAATAACTTATTTATGAAATACAATTTAAATTGTTTTCAATTTTTAAATATTTTATTTTAAACTTATAAGCTTAGCCGAATCTAGCCCGATGCAACTATAAATTCGGAGTCAAAGATTATGCTAAGCATTAGCTAAGTTTTTCGTAAGTAAAGTCTGAGCAAAGTCAAAGTACAGTCTACATAGATATCAGCCTAAAACCTTTTAAGTTCGCGGTCCTCACTGCTATGAGGACACTATCGCTTTTAATAATTTCATAAGCAAGCAGGGAAATATAACATAGATTGCTGGCGTGGTTTGAAACTTAAGGCTAAGCCCCTCATCTCATACAACTCAATAACTGCCTCAAGTGAGTTTTGCTCTCCGCTGGACATGCCGCTATGTTAAGATTTCGCAATATAAAATTGTTAGTATGTCTCAATTGAGGCACTAAATCAATAAAAAAGGAATGTTTTGAAAACTAGATATATTAAATTATAAAGTAAGCGTAATTGTTTTATTCAATTTCTTAGTATTTATAAACAGATAGTCTATACCGTTTTCTTTGTATCCACGTTTCAGAAAAATATACGCAACGAAATGACATAAATCTATCCGACTAAGTTTCCATTTATCCTCGGGTTGATCCCTATTGCTGATTGTTATCAGTTTCATAGACGTTCAAAAGATTTTTTTTCATCCAAGTTAAATTAAATTGTGATAAAAAAATAAAAACTCTCATGAGACAATTTTAGATTTTCCAAACTATTTGTTTTAATAAGGGCTTACGTTTTATAGCCTACTAGTGGGTTTGTGATTCCTGGATCTATTGGGTCCAATGGAGTTTTTAAACCATCCTGGAACCCAGTCAAATACACACAGAAAATTTTGCAGATTAATTTTATTACTTATTACAGCCCGAACTATAATTAATATTTTTTTACTTTCCTTATAACGCCCCCGCAATCCCCTTCGTGAGTGGAATTTCGTAAAATTCGTTCTCAGTCAAACTCAAAATGATAAAAATAATAATTTCGCCAAATTTCAAACCTGTAAGAGATATAGCTTAAGGCTTAATTTTTTTAACGCCCCCGCACTAGAATATTATATATAATTATAATACTAGAATATTCTGGCTAAATTTTATACCTATAAAAGCTACAGTTTAAAATGTGATTTTTTTATTAATAAGTCTCAGTCTCATAACAGAGTCTCAAAAAATCTTTTCTAGCTGACCTCTACTCAGCGAAAGGAATATTCCTACCAAATTTCAAGTCTCTAGACCTTATAGTTCCAGAGATATCGTACTGAGTCAGTACATAGGGGATATCTCTTATATGTGTATGTATATGTTACGAGCCGAAAGCCGAAGTGCGGTTCTAGCCGGCTAGAACTAGGTGAAGCAAGCAGCATTTGATTAAATTTAGGTGTACTGTTAAATTTGTTAAAAATACGGAAAAACATATCAAATAAAAGTAGGTTAAGGTGCGGTTAAGATCGCACACATTTATAAACTATGTATGATACATTTACAGCAATCGATCCTAGTAAAGTTCATATTCAATCAGGTTATAACTTGTTTTTTTCGATAACTCTCTCGATATACCTAAATGATTAATTGCGTAGTCAGGAGAGCAAGTTGAACAACCGCTCTCACACTTTTACTATTTTTAATAATTAACCTTTTCTGATGTATTACCGAGATCAGATCACTTGATATACTTCCTACATATACATACGTTCAACTTCTAACTCGCATCTTCGGTGCATTTAACAGCTGACTACTTTCGACAGTATTCTGAAGTTGTGGCCATCAATCAGAAGGAGATCATCATCATAAATAGAATAAATAATATATATATATATATATATATATATATATATATATATACATATACAGATAGAGCTAAAGAAGTTTTACCTCAGTCGTGTGGTCATAAGCACACTTGTTATTTTTTTATTGATTGTGGCATTAACACAGTCTTTTATTTAAAATGTATTAAGTCTTTATTATAATTACGTTTGAATCAGCATAATGTAGCTAGTACAAAGCTGCAGCACCAAAGGGTTAGCTCGACCAGAGCAGGACTACGCTCTCAAAGCGCACCTGCTTTTACAAATGTTCCTTTTACTTTCAACATGCTGAATTTTACTTTTTAGTACATAGCGTCTTTTGACGAGGAGGGTGAGCAGGCACCAGATTGGAGGCGAGTAGGTCCAGAGGGTCTGGTGAACTTGGAGAAAGTGTACAGAACACAAGCGGTCATGGACCACATCGCAAGTTTTCACCAGCATCGTTACGCACTGGGCAGAACTGCACCACCTGTTTTTGGAGATTACCTAAGGTATTTGGTTGCTATTTATATAAAAAAAGAAGAAATATATATGTATGGGACCTGACTTCAAATTATCATCAACATCATCATTACAGCCCTTCACAAGTCCACTACTGAAATTAAGCCTCCCCCAAGGAATGCCACAAAGCACGGTCCTAAGCCACCTGCATCCATTGACTTTCCTGCATGTCTTACCAGGTCATCACTCCATCTAGTGGGGGTTCACCCTACACTACACCTACCGGTACGAGGCCGCCACTCGAACTTATTTATATTATTTTATTTTATCCTGGTGGTCCTGATCAGGATACTAGGACAAAATTGTTAAATTATTGTATAGTCAGCGATCCTTGATACGAGTGCACATTTTAAAGTCAATCGGGCGTGTACAAGTGGTGAAAATTGCATTAAAATATTCCGTTACATACATAGATAGATAGATATTATAATAGTAATATTTCCTCCAAACCGAATCACAGTCATGGCGGCCTGCCGCCACGGAGACTAGCCATCAGCGCAGAACAGGGCTATAGTGCCCAATTGTATACGCTAGCACAGTAACACTCTCTATTGCCTCACTCTCATAGCCCGATGGGACGGTAAACCGACACGACCGGAGAGACATCAGGCGCAGGAACAACGGCTTTACGTGCTTTTCAAGGCACGGGGGTGAGACACCGCCAAATTCCTAATTCCGGGCAGCTACTGAGAATTTCTTGATGGAAAAACTCAATTACTGATTTTTTCGGCCCGACCCGGGATTCGAACCCGGGATCTCATGATCAGCAGTCGCACTACTACAACCACTAGACCAACGAGATAGTCAACTAGTTCATATATAAAGGGTATAACATCGTAAAAAAATTTACATAAACTATGTGATTTAGTGTCACTTCCAAGGGCAATACCAAATATGCTTTACGCTGTTTTAAGAATTAAATTCATCGAACATAAGTTAATTTGTTTTAATTGTTAATACAACCACATTTCTCGACGCCTTCGACTGTCAAACTGTGATTGCGCAAAAGCAGAGTTCGAATCTCTAATATATTATACCTTCTATATCAAGGCTGACAAAGTTTCGTAGTACATAAGTATCACTTTAATGTTGGGAAAGGTTTTAATAGGTTAACGCTGCAGTCATGTCCGGTACAACTTTACAAAGCACAGGTTCGGCCACACATGGAATACTGTTCCCATCTCTGGGCTGGAGCTCCCCAGTACGAGCTCCTTCCACTTGACCGCATCCAGCGCAGAACAGCTCGAATCGTCAACGACCGAGTGCTTTCCGATCGACTCGATTCACCGGCGCTGCGAAGAGATGTTGCATCTCTTTGCATTTCCTTTCGCATATACCATGGGGAGTGCTCTTAGGAATTGTTCGGATTAATCCCAGCCGCCAAATTTCGTGAACGCACTACGAGGCAAACGTCCCGATACCATCCACACCACCTGGATGCTTGGCGGTCCACCACTGTACGTTTCACAAGGAGTTTTCTTCCGCGTACGACCTCTCTGTGGAATAGTTTACCACCGGTGATTTTTCCGGATTGATATGACCTGGGGACCTTCAAGAAAAGAGCTTACTCCTTTCTAAAGGGCCGGCAACGCACCTGCAATTCCCCTGGTGTTGCGGTTGATCATGGGCGGCGGTAGTCACTTAACATCAGGTGAGCCGCATGCTCGTTTGCCCCCTCTTCTATATAAAAATTCTTATGACCCTAATGCGCAAGTGAAAACAGTAAACATTTTAATTATGAATCAATGCGATGTATGATGATGAATAAATGTGAATTCGCTCACAGAACATATGAATATGTGAACCTCCTCGTGGATAAGATTAAGTAGTCTGGTGGCGCGAGTGCGCGGCACCTCCCTCAGAAAGTTGATGCGGACGCGCGACACCACAGGCAGCCGCGGCCGTTTCCTTCGCCATACTTATTGTTCCGGGACATTCAAATATAATTGTTTACATGTTACTCGATAACTTCGTTAATTGTGGACCAATTTAAATCAATCAATTTAAATCAAAAAAAGTCTTACGTGGTAGAGCCTGCTGTTTATTAGTAGCATAGTTGCAGCACGAATGGGTCGGGAAACGAGTAAGCACCACGCTCTCACAGAATACCAGCGTCAAATAGTAGCTTAATGTTGCTGTGTTTCGTATGGTGAATGTAGAGAACCGGAGACCCTTTTTACTGGAAACGAGGCATTCCATCTAAGTCCTCACGGATGACAACGCATCTCCATTTTCATTCGTAATCGTGTGTAGATGTCCATGGGCCACAGCAACCACTTACCATCAGGTGGACTGTGTGCTCGTTTGTCATCCTATCCTATAAAAAAGCCAACCAATAATAACTCGGTCGTCGACGATTCGAGCCATCAATTGGATCAAGTGGAAGGAGCTGGCACTGGGTTGCCCCGGTCCGGAATAGAATAGAATAGATTAATTTTGTATTCAACTTAGATCACATGTAATTTTTATTCAAAGTCATTTTTCACTTTACCACTGGTTCAGAAATAATCCTTAAACAGAGATTTTTTTAGAAAGCACCAGCAAGAAACCTGGCGGAACTTTTTTTAATTAAATTCACAATATAAATGGTTACAAAATGTTTTCAAAACATCCATTTACAGAAATAGCTTGGAAGCGACCACCTCATTTCCATAGATTATTATGAACCATGTATTCATTTATAATAACCCTTTTTATACGGTTTTTGTTTGATTAAATATTTAAACTAGTTAATAGAGAGATCTTGTGTATTTTCTGGGACTTTCTTGCAATAGCGTAAACATTGTCCCAAGAATGAATTACTTACTCTGTAGAGTCGCGAAACTGGTATCACTAGCTTGTGTTGATTCCTAGTGCTTACAGAGTGTATATCACTTTGTTTACTAAAACTACCTTTGTTTTTGTGAACATACATTGAATTTTCATGAATATACTGAGAGGCCTAAGTTAATATATTTATTTATTTACATTTTTCTCTAAGAGATTCTCCCGATCTCTGAGATGAGAACAGTATTTGTGGCCGAACTTGCGCCTTGTAAAGTTGCAGGCGGTGTGCCGGCATGAAATACTGTCCTACTCTGCTGAGCACACCAAGCCTATTGGAGCCTACTTTAGCCTCCCTTTCTAAATGACTTCGGAACTGTACATAATTTGAAATGTCAACGCCGAGGATTCCGATACTACCTGAGGCAGTAAGGGAAAAGCCCTGAAATTTAAAAAGGAGTTCTCCCCTGATTTCTTCGTATTTTCTTTTAATCCCCCCCCCCCCCGCTCATTCTTAACAATAGAATAAGTCATGTTTTCCAAACTAATCTACGGTCTACCTTCAGAACAGCAATCGCCGCATGCGAAGACCCAGTCTTCGCACAACCATCTCAGAAGACCACGGGCAGCGACTTCGAGAACGAGGCCTTATACGAACTGGAAGGGGGAGGTTACTGTCCCGTCCAACCTCTACCACACGATCATGGTGTGACCATGTTTCCTCTAGCACCACAGAATGGAGAAAGAATGGACAGGCACGTTTTACAAGTGAGTTTGGAGAATTTTACTTTCTGCACTGTTAAATCTTTACTGACGTTACTGTTAAGTAAAACCTTTATATATGTAGAAAGAAGGGCGACAAACGAGCCCACAGTCCACCGATTGGTAAGTATATGCTGTGGCCCATAGACACCTACAGCTATCCTTGATCAAGAATCGAAATGTAAATGCGTTGTCACCCCTAAGGAATAAGATGGAATTCGTCATTATCAGTTATAAGGGTCTTGGGATCCTCTTACGCACCATAGGAAATATATCAGCATTAAGCTGCAGCTGCTATTTCGTGCTGGTATTCTGTGAGAGTTCCTTGTCTTGTCCAGAAGACACATTTGTGTTACCACCATAATATAGCTGCAGCGTGGCTCGACCACCTATAAAAAAATATTTGAAAATTTTTTCAGAATTTTGAAACAGTACCGAGCATTTAAATTTGCTATAATGGTAACGGATAGATCTAATTTTTAAGCCAGCCCGATCCCGAACAACCATAATATAGCTGCAGGGTGGCTCTACTGCGTATAAAAATAACGTCCTGCAGATCGAATTTCGGCCACGGCGGCCTGCCTCAACGAAGACTAGCCATCGGCACAGGACAGGATGGATGGAGGACACGAGTGTATGCGCAAGCACAGGTGCACTCTCTATGCCCTCGCTCTCATAATCCGATGGAAAGGCAACTCGACATGACCGGAAAGAGATCAGGCGCTGGACCAAACGTTTAACGTGCTTTCCGAGGCACGGGTGAGATACCATCAATTTCCTGCTGCTACTGCAAAAAATATTTTTAACAGAAAACCCTAACAACTGATTTTTCTCGATTCGGGTTTCGTACCTAGGACCGCATGACCAGCAGGCAATTGGTAACTTCACATGCAATGTGTGTCCCTACAAGATCTACATTGTAGTTATTTCCCTTTCAGGTAATGCACCACGGCACCGCGTGTGTGGTGGGAGAAGCGGAATGGTGTGGGACCTTCGCTCACTTGAAGCTAGAACGCGCTTGCGCGCTTCTAACTTGGTGTCGCACAGCTCATCGACCATATTCACAACATGGTATGTAAAATGGCGTAAGAATACCCATTACCCCATTTCCTCCCGTAGGTATCGTAAGGGGTGACTATGCGACTTATCGACTATCTTTTAATAGAATAAGGGTACCAAGCGACCACACAGTCCACCTGATGGTAAGTGGATACTGTGGCCCATAGGCATTATACATGCTGCGGTGGTGATGGGGCTGCGGGGGGAGAGGATTGTCGGTATTGCGAGGCGCCGCTCTCCCTATCCTCCGCAGCCGAATCTTGGTTGGCGGCGGAGCTATAGACCAGATCCGCCGCTGGGGTCGGGAAGGCTAGTACTTCTAAGTGCTCGTTTTTCCTGGCCCCATGGCCTTCGCGCATCGGACGCGGGGGCGTCTGTTGCGCAGATGTAATTGGAGGCCGTGGAGGAAGGCGTACCATGTGTTCTGGTGCGCCTTACTTGGGAAGGAGAACGGGGAGGAATATTCTTCTGCCGATGAGGTGCTGCCATGGGGCGGCAGTCGCTGGTGGGGCCGCGGATGTGTGCGAAAGCGTTGCCGTAGCCGTGGCAATATGCGACGAAGGTGGAACACCATGGGGTTTTAGTCGGTGCGAGTCCGACATAACCCGTCCTTGCCCCCCGCGAGGCGGGTATGCGTAGGCATTTTCCCATGTAAAAAAAAAGGCATTATACATGCAAATTCGTTGTCACCCCGGATGCTAAGATGAAATGCATCGCTTCCAGTAAAAAGGTACCAGTTTTCTACACTCACCTTTTTTTATAGAATAAGAGTTGCAAATGAGCACACAGTTCACCTAATGGAAAGTGGATGCTATGGCCCATAGACATCTACGTTTATCCTCGATTAAGAATTAAAATGCAGATGCGTTGTCACCCGTGAGGACTAAGATGGAATACCTCGTTTCCAGTAGAAAAGGTCTCCAGACCTCTAGAATCATACGAAACACAACAGTATTAAGCTGCTATTTTACGCCGGTATTCTGTGAGGGCGTAGTCCTTCCCCGGTCGAGCCGACCCATTCCTGCTACAACCATAATGTGGCTGCAGCGTGGCTCCAACATGCATAAAAAACGATTCCTCTAATGGCCCTGTCAACCCTTATTCTATTTAAAAAAATCTATAATTTAGTTCCTAAAAAGTCACTCAGACAAAAATTTAAAAAAATTAATATATTAAATTTGGCCTCTTAATACATTTATGAAAATGTAATGTACGTACACAAAAATAAAAGTAAGTGACAAAAATAATAAAAAGAAAAAAAAAGTGATATTCATTCTGTAAATACTATGAACGTATACAAGCTAGTAGTACCAGTTACTCAACTTCATCGGGTCAGTAATTCACTCTAAGGGCGATGTATACGCTTTTACAGCAAAATCCCAGAGGTATACAAAATTTGACCTGCACATAGTTCATAAATTTTATTTAACTAAGTTGGTATAAAAAGGGGTTATTATAATATTAAGGAATTTATGGATGATAATAACTCCTGGGAAGGGTGATCGCTACCAAGCTATTTCCAATTTGTTAGATGTTGTTAATTGTAACAAGCATGATTGTAAGCTGTTATTTTTTTTAATAGTCCCGCTGGGTTTCTTGCTGGTTCTTCCCAGGACAGGGGCTTATTTTCGAACCAGTGGTAAATAAAAAAATGACTTTCAACAAATATTATTTATAATCTATATTGAATAAAAAAGATTTCTGTTTCTGTAATTAAGCGAGATAAAATCCGTAAAAATAATTTCATTCAATGTGTAGTATTCTCGTAAATATGAAAAATCATTAAATAATTAATATTCCAGAAAGAAACTGTGATCTCTGCTCTTTTGTAACAAATTTCTTTGTCCCGGTATGAAATTTGTCAAATATTTCATCCTATTTCTAAAGTGATGCTGTCCTGGTGGCAGTACAATACCAACAATAAGAATAGTTAAATCCCAAATGATTGGATTAAAGTTCAATTATCATAATGTCTTGCAGGAGAAACCCCGTCGGAGAATATACAGCAGCCTGAAATCAATCTCTCATACAACCCTGAGGAAGTCATACCAGTCAAATACACGATGAATCTAGCGCATGAGAATGAAGCTGGCATCGTTGGGGACGAAGGGTAAGCTTTAATCATTTTTTTACAGAATCAGCATGAAAATAGACCACACAGGACACCTGATGATGAATGGATGTTGTGACCCATAGACCTACATTAATCCTCGAATAAGGATCAAAATGCAGATGCGTAGTCACCTCTGTGGACTAAGATGGAATGCCTCGTTTCCAATAAAAAGAGTCTCCGGTTCTCTACACTCACCACACGAAACACAGCAACATTAAACTGCTATGTTACGCTGGTATTTTGTGGGAGCGTGGTCCTATCCCGGTCGTGCCGACCCATTCCTGCTACAACACTAATATAGCTGCAAAATGAGTTTACCACGTGTTAAAACTAAACTGCATACGTTAAGTAACCTGAAATTAAACAACTCTAACCCGTCCATAAGCTGTTAAACCAGTATTTTGTTTCATAATATTTGTCAGCACTGGAGAACAGCTAGCCCGTGAGGGAAATCGAAACGTTTTTAACTGTGGCAGTATAAGCTGACTACTTGGTTGTTGTTTCATGAATCTTTTTTCCAGCTTCATCGACCTTCAGTGCGTGAAGGACATGCGACTCGGGGGCAAGCTCCTGGAACCTCGGGATATCGCCGAGCTGACGGCGTGTGCTAAACGTCACGGTCTGGAGACTTGTTCTCAAGGACCGCACATCATTTCCCTGGTCTACGGGAGAACATTAAGCGACAACAGGACTGTACATTTTTTACTTCCGGCTTATTCTTACAGGTGAGTAGAATATTCTCACCGTTTTTTGAAAACTTATTTAAATATAAGTAAAATTGAAATATCTATATTTAATATTGAAATAACAGGTTTCTTGAGACCAGTAGTTTTTGAGTTATCCTTAATAATGCGTATTTAATTGTCTTCGACTACATTGTTAACAAAGTCCGTTCTACAAAAGTTTTAATTTTTCCTCTTGTATCCTTACATCTTGAATTTTTTTTAATAAAATGAAACAAAAAACTTGTAAACTGAATGTTCTTTCATAATCTTAAATCCAAATAACGTCACATTATAATATATTATCGAAGCCGGGGCGCGGCTTTGTTCCCAGTCCTCAGGGATGACAACGCATTTGCAATTTGATTTTAGTTGAGGATAAAAACGGGCCAAATTAGGAGTACCCTTAACCGACGAGCATGTATGCGTAGGTGTATGGATGTGAAGGAGGAGAGAGAGGTGTGTCAGGATCGTGCCAAATGGAAATCTGTAGTCTCTGCCTACCCCTCTGGGTGACAGGCGTGAGTGTTTATAGATATGGATGGATAAATATGGATGTCTATGGGCCACAGCATCCACTTACCATCAGGTAGACTGTGTGCTCGTCTGTAAAAAAGTCACTGCCATTTTATAAAACATCCCTCTTCTCTTTATCGCAGAGTATGGGCGGTCGGCCTTCACGCTGTCATTAGAGCGTTGATGACACAGACCAAGCTCGCAGACAGGAGTCTGGCGTGGCTAAAGAACAAGTACACCGCTTTATATTACGAGGACAGCTGCTGTTGTGAGCCTGTAGTCTCCGATGCCATTAGGGTAAGTATTATAAATCATCATTTTTACATGATAGAGCTATGCTGCAGCTATTATGGTTATAGCACGAGTGCCGTTAGACCGGGGAAGAAGCACGCTCTCAAAAAATACCAGCATAAAATAGCAGGTCAATGCTGCTTTCTATACGTGGTAGAGCCATGCTGCAGTTATATTAGTAGTATAGTTGTAGCACGAATGGGTCGGCTCGACCGGGGAAGGACCACGCTCTCACAGAATACCAGCGTGAAATAGTAGCTTAATGCTGCTGTATTTCGTATGGTGAGTGTAGAGAACCGGAGACCCTTTTTACTGGAAACGAGGCGTTCCATCTTAGTCCTCACGGGTGACAACGCATCTGCATTTTGATTCGTAATCGAGGATAGATGTAGATGTCTATGGGCCGCAGCAACCACTTACCATCAGGTGGACTGTGTGCTCGTTTGTCACCCTATCCTATAAAAAAAAAGTCCTCACATTTTGATTCTAAATCGAGGATAATTGTAGATTTTCATAGGCCGTTTCGTTTGACACCCTTATTTTGTTTAAAATATTATAAACATTACACATATATCTTCATGGGGGAGTGATTGCCATAGTTGGTACGCTTGGCAACCGGGTCGGCAAACGCAGCTGTTTATTGTAGATTGGCTATTATTGTAATGCAGCTGCAGCGTGTGGAACCAGCAATAAAAATAGCAGCATATTCTGTGTCGCTCATTAATACATGTCAAAAGCCGAAAACCTTTTTTACTGATGATATAGGAAAACACCGCCAACTTTCTGACTACCCCAGTAATTGATTTTGGCTCGAACCAAGAATAAACCCAGGATAAAACACGTAGTAGAGCCATGCTACAGGTAAGTTATGATGAGCACGTAGCACGAATGGGTCGGCTCATTTCGTATTGTGAGTGTAGAGAACCGGAGAACCTTTTTTACTGGAAACGAGGCATTCCATCTTAGTCCTTAGAATAGAATAGAATAGAATAGAATAAGTCATTTATTGTGCTAGTTGTAGGTTTAAGAGATTTAACACTATAAAAATAATTAAGTATCACCACAACCTGCCTAGATAAGGCTTACAATATTATTAAAATTATGGAACTTAAAACATCATCTCATTATTCATTAAATCAAATCAAATAACACGGATAATAAAGCATAATGTCATACAATGAATTATTTTAACAAAAGTGGATTATAAATAATAATATCAAAAGTACAATGGTATTATACCAGTATAATCTAAGTCTATGAATGGAATATTGATATATCAAAATACATGTAAGCTTATAACTAAAACGTAGTGATTTGAATACTCTTTGCTTAAAACATAATTCAGAAAATATTTCAAATGTCAATTAATTTAAAATGTAAGTTTGTAGCTCAAATAATCTTTTAAGGAATAAAAACATCTTTCAGTCAATAATTCTAATAATTTATTCTTAAATTTTTTTATTTCTAATTCTTTTAATTTGTCAGGTAAATGATTATATATTTTTGGTCCTAATGCATAAAAACTTTTTGAGAAAAAGGCTGTCCTAGATGTGTGAAACGGTATAACAGTAACACTACTCTTTGTTTGCCTCGGGTGCTTAGCAATGTGCGAGTTAAAATAATGTAAATTACTTTTGACGAATAAGCAGGCGTGGTATATGTACAACGAGGGCAGATTTAGAATTTTTAATTTTACAAACAGAGGTCTGCAACTGTCTGTTTGTTTGGCACCAAACATTGCTCTGAGACACTTTTTTTGCATACTAAACAATGGCAACAGGTTAACATCAGCCGCGCCTCCCCAATGTATGATACCATATCTTAAGTTGGTGGCAACGTATCCATGATAAGCAGTAAGTGCAGCTTTTTGTGAGACAGTTTGTGTTAATTTTCTTAGAGGATAAACAAATTTACTAATTTTACTTGCAAGAAATTCGGTATGCGGTTTCCAGCTTACACATTCATCAACCAATACACCAAGGAAACGTATTTGTTTTACTCGCTCAATCAAATGCCCTTCATACTTAACAAAAACAGTCTCTTGTTTCCGGTTTTGGGGAAGATGAAACTGCATATATTTTGTCTTATCTAGGTTTATGACGAGATCATTAGCTTTCATCCAATTAATAATATCAGACAAAGCTTCAGCAATAACACATTCGTATGGTTTATTGCTGTTGTTTTTTATCATAACAGTAGAATCATCTGCGAAAAGGATCATTTCATGCTGCACATGTCTAGGTAGGTCATTGATGTACAATAGAAAAAGAAGAGGCCCAAGTATACTTCCTTGGGGTACACCACACTTTACAAGCTGTGACTGAGATCGTACTTGCACTTCAGATCGATTTTCCTCATTAACATAAGAGATTTCTGTGCATTGAAATCGGTTATTTAAATATGACGATACAAGACCAAATATAGGTCCTCTGATACCATACATATATAACTTTTGCAGAAGCTTTTCATGATTTACGTAATCAAAAGCTTTTGACATATCCATAAAAATAGCAGTTACTGGAACGCGATCGTCAAGGCATTCCGATACAACTTTTATCATGTGATATATGGCTAGATTCGTAGATCTATCCTTTCTAAATCCGTATTGCTCGTCTGCTAGTAAATTAAATCGTTCGCAATAATTATATATGTTTGTATATATGATTTTCTCAAAAATTTTGGAAATGACAGAAACCAGAGCAATTGGGCGATAGTTCCTACAATCCTCTTTATCCCCTTTCTTGAAAATAGGTTTAATTACTGTTATTTTTAGCTTATCAGGGTAAATCCCTTTATTTATAGTTAAGTTGATAATGTGACTAAGCGGCCGAGCAAACTGAAAATTACAAAATTTCAATACTCTAGTGGTTATTTCATCGTGACCAACACTTGTTTTATTTTTTAAGCTATTAATTATTTTAACTATATGATCGGGCGTTGTTGGATTCATAAACAATGAATTTGATATACGTTCAATGTTACTTCTGTAATTTATTGGTTTGCAGTTCTGTACAGGATTCATAAATGTATCATTAAAAGCTTCTGCAATATCACCTGGTTTAGTAATTGTTTTCCCTTTATAAGTTACACTCTTCATAATTTCTTTTGGCTTTGTGAAATTATTTGAATTTATTATCTTCCACGTAGATCTTGTTATATTTTTAGACTTGTTGATGTAATTGTTGTTTTGAATGCGTTGTGATTTATTAATAACTTTTTTTAAAAGTGCTGTATAAGCATTATATTTAAGTTTATCATTTTTAGATTTTAATTGAAAGTACATTTTCCTTTTGCGTTTACACGATGTTTTGATACCACTTGTAATCCAAAATGGCTTCCGCTGAGCTGAAACTTTAATTAGGTTGAACGGGAAGCATAAGTCATAAAAGAGTTTAATCAATTCATAAAACAAATTGTACGCTTCGTTTACATCATTGCTTTGATAAATATCATAAAAGGATAAGCTTTCCAGGCATTCTCTAAATTTGGTTAGATTTTCAATACTATAGTCACGTCTTTTGATAAACCAGTATCGCAAGCAGGAGTAATTTATTGTGATAGGATATTGCAACACTTGAGCAGTGTGGTCGGATAATCCTAAATGTAAAATTTTGCTTTTACACCCACGGCAATTATGAATGATATTATCGATACACGTTCCACTTTGTAATCTAGTCGCATCCATGAATTCAATTTTAAAGTTATAACTCGACAAAAGATTAATAAATACATTAGTTGTCATGCAATTTTTTAAAACATCAATATTAAAATCACCACATATTATAGTTTTCTTAGTTCTATATTTGCTAACCCTATCCAACAAAGTTTCAAGTTTTTCGAAAAAGTTAGAGATATTACTATAATTAGGAGTTCTGTATAAACAAATAATTATAACATTAAAAGACACAAGTTCAATAGCACAACATTCAAATACGGTACTGAGAGAGTTTCTTGTAATTTCAGGTAATTCTCGGTAATTAAGTCCTCTTCGAGTCATAATACATGCACCTCCTCTTGAATTTTTTCTGCAGTATATGGCAGCTAGATTGTAGTAATTACATACTAAATTGGTTTCATGTCCATTCTTGACAAAATGTTCAGTTAGACAAATAACGTCAATACAGTTTCCTTCACTTGAAAAATCCTCCAATATGATCTCAATATTATCCATTTTACCTAGCGCACCACATATATTTTGATGCATTACATACAGAAATTTACTTTTCTTGTTTTCGAAAAAAAGTCATCATTAGATAATTTTACATCCGAAACGTTTTCACTAACACTTTGCTGAACTAATTTATCAGTTTGCGTCCCTTTGTTGGATTTATGGTAGTCTATAGACATATACGAACTCTCTATTTCTGATAGTAAACTCTTAAGATCTGCAAACAAAGCTCTCATGCCTTTATTATTCACGGCACCAAGTTTACCAGAGAACATGTGATAATCATAGGTGAGATTCAAATTTGAATCTAGTAAATATGCATACTCATGGGCTTTAATATTTTTGTACAGCAAATAGTTAAAGTTTTCGATTCTTCTATTAAAAATATTTGTATCTTTAGCACATCTAAAAGTTGGTATGCAAATTACTATATTAGTGTGAGTGATGCATTGTATGGTTTGCCTTAAGCTCTCCACTAGTCTGTTATAATCTTGTGACATCCTGAAGTCATAATCTCCAATTAGAACAACACAATAATCTTGTAAAGTGTAATTAATCAGTTTTTTGTCAAGGCCTTGAATTAAATCTAATATACCAGCATTTGTTTTTATATAATGACAGAATTCAAAATCTTTAGAGAAATAGTCTTGTGCAATGCCTTTTATATTATTTTTGTTGTTGCTGCTGATTATGCATAGCTTTCTAGTGTGCTTCAAGGGTATCGGTTCATCAGTTCTGCATTGCTTACTTTTTTCCCCATTAATTTTTTTATATTCATTTACGCATACCTTGTGTTGTTCTTTTTGATTTATTGTTGAATTATGGTTTTTACTTTCAATATTATTAGGGGTTTCCTTATTTTCAGCACTGTTAAATAGGTTTGATTCTACTTCGTTAATGCTTTGTGATCTATTTGTATTTGATACGTTCTTGATCTTAGATGATAATATACACACACATCTCTCAGGTTTCGACTTAAATTCGGCTATTTCTTTTTTTAATATATAGTTTTCTGATATCAGGTCTTCAATCTCCTTGTCTGCATTATCAAGTTTTCTTTGTAGTTCACATAATTTTTCATTTAATTTGCTTATACAATCCTTGGTATTTTTATCAGTCAGATTACTTCCACCTATGTCCACGTGTGTTGGAGTTGATGTTAAGGAAGAGTATTCAAAGTTCTCATCAACAGATAAGGAGCCAAATGAATTAGAGGCTACTTTATTTGTAATTATTTTCTTACGTGTAGTAACATTTCTGGTAGCCGTTTCTAAGCTCTCAGTTAGAGGTGAGGACTGATTTAGCACGCAGTCATTATCTTGTAATTTTTTTACACATGACTTACACTGGAATCGTCTTCTTTTAATTGGACTTTTTAAATAATATAATTTCGGTGAAATATTTGTACACTTCAAATGATAGTATTCATCGCAGTCGGAACAAATCAAAAACTCTCTATCAATGATTGTGTCATTACATTCCTTACATATTTGATCAGCCATTTTTTTAGTTCTTTACCAATAATCAGAATAAAAAAATAAAAAAAAATAATAATACAAATTTTCTAAGCACTAAAATAAAGTTCACTGACAGTTCGAGAAAAAGGAAAAAAATAAAAAAAATAAAGTTTTATCGAAACTTAATAAGAAAATCAATCGTTTGTAACTGTCTAGATGCAACAATTCCACTCACAAAATAGGAAAATATTAGTTTAGTTATATAAAGCCTAAAATAAATAGTAAATAATTATAAAATTTTTTTCACTGGGTTCGGAACTTGAGTCATGCGTTAGCATACGTTGCGACATATGAGCCAAGTTGAGTTAATAGTAACTAACGAAACAAATGGTCCGTATATGATTAACTTATTCGAAAGATTTGGCGGTAGTTATTAAAAAAGTTATTAATTTACATTAATCACTATTTCACTTAGTTTATTGATTTAAGTAGAAAACGTTTTTTATACACTTATTACAATAGTCGATTTCACGATAGTACACTTTTAAGTAATTTTAACTTGAATTTTATTCACTCAATTCTTGTGAATTCACTCAATACCAACAATACCGTATAATGTTTTTTTCAATATTACGTCCATAAACAAAGTTGAAACAGTTCACCATCAATGTCACATGAAATTTAAACAATTTATTACATTTTGGTTGAGTTTTTAACCCGTCTAGGCCACTAGAAATATTTAATTATGTTAAAAATTACGGAGTAGCTATTAACGTGACGGCAGACAAGATAACCTCTTAAAGCGACACCGTGAAAAAATGCACCTCCTTTCATCGAATAGTATAGGACTATGACACCACTAACGAAAGTGGGATTTTGATTATTTGATATAGGTAAATTCATGTCTTTATCTTGAATTTGATTACTCAAAAACACGATTGTATAATTTTGACTCGATCATAATTATTTGCGAAAACACCTCTAAAAAATGACTATAGTTGAAATTACAACGAAATCATTTGATCTATATGTTTGGGAATCACTCAAATATATTCATAACATCAATATTCATAATTTACTTGCTCATTATTTTGATTACTTAAATCAATAATTTTATAAAAAAATATTTTAAGATTCTGACAATTTCTAAGCGGTCTTAATCGTCGCGGGCGCTACGCAATTTTAGACCTTATGACGGCGTTTCTTCAAGTTTTTATAGAAATTATGTCTTAAGGGTGACAGCGCATACGTATTTTGATTTTTAATTGAGGATAAAAAATGTAGGTGCCTATAGGCCACAGCGGCCACTTACCATCAAGTGAAGGGAAAATATTTATTATAATTAAAATTGAAAATGAATAGATTTCATCATCATCATCATTATCATCATCATTACAGCCTGTCCAAATTACACTGCTGAAACTGTCTAACACAATATTGCCTTGCTTCGCTGGGCAGTTGTTTTGACAATCGCAGTTTTTACAACTTTGAACTATATTAAGAAAAAGCTACTGCCAATCTCCCGCCTCAGTTTCCCTCTGTCAGCTCTTACGACACCTTTGGGAAGATATGGGATAGTTGATATTCTAACACTGCCCTTACATGTTATATACCACAATACCACTGCTGAATATAGTCCTTTCCCAAGGAATGTCACAAAATATGGTCTTGAGTCACCCATATCCATCAATTTCCTATATGTCCTACCGGTTTGTAACTCCATCTAATGTGGGCAGCCTAACACTTCGCATACTGATACGAGGCTACCATTGGAGAACTTTTCTTCCCCATTAACTGTCGGTTCTTCGAGTAATATAAGTGCTTTCGTATATTTTATTAAACGTGGTGAAGTGACGACGAGCCGTGGTAGCTCAGATGGTTAACGCTCGCTGTAAATATAACAGAACGCGAATAACCCGGGTTCGATCCCCGCCGGCACCAATGAATTTGTTAATTGCAATTTTAAGTGCTGATTTAACACGTGCTCGGCGGTGAAGGAAAACATCGTGAGGAAACTTGCATAAATAAGGAATAAGAAAAAAATTCGAAGACATGTGAAGTTCGGCAACACGCATTGGGATGACGCGGCGGACACTTCCTTGCCCTAAAACCCTCTCAGAAATGAGGGAAATATGCCCAGCAGTGGGACGTATAGGGTGTAACTTTGGTGAAGTCACGATGCTGCTTTTTTATCACTGCAGTAACAATGTTGGCTTGATGAGGGAAGGATCTACCTCCAGATAACCAGCTGAAGATAGCCGCTTAATCCAGTGTGTTTCGTATGATAGTCGTTATGTCTTGAGACTTTTTTAGAAAAGAGACTACTCCTTTTAAATGACTGGTGTTGCACCTGCAATTCCTCTGGTATTACAGTTGTTCATGGGCGGCGGTAGTCACTGATCATCAGGAGATCCGTTTGCTCGTTTGCCATCTTCTATAAAAAAATGTGGAGAGAAATTTTAAAGATAATGAGACCCTTTTTTAATGGAAACGAGGCATTCTATCTTAGTCCTCAGTGGTGACAGCGTATCAGCGTCTTGGTTTTTAATCAAGGGTAAATGTAAATGTCTATGGACCACAGCATTCATTCACCATCAGGTGGACTGTGTGCTCGTTTGTCACACTTATCCTATAAAAAAATGTTGAGTGGACTCGTACTCTAACCAGATACCACTTTACTGGTAACGAGGTATTCTTTGTGCTCAAGGAGGAAAACGCACTTAAATTTTGATTCTTCATGGAGGATAGATGTAGATGTCTATGGGCCACAGGTGGACTTTTTGCCCATTTCTGGTCTAACTTGTATAAAAACTCTCTGATTATCTTCATACGCAGGTGTTCGGTGGCAGAGACTCTACTTGCGGAGCTTCGTCACATTCCACTCCTGTCAGAGGGGCCTTCACGGACTCCCATGGAGACTCTTTAAGGGGTTCAGGAATTAAATTTAAGGTTAGATTTTTACCCGACTAAACAGAAAGAGATTTATGGTTTGAGAAAGAAAGTAGAGAGAAAAGACGACCCTTATGACACTAGTTCAGTCAGTTATGGGTCCTAAGGACTGGAATTCCTACGTGGGAATAGAATTTGTGTAATTGCAGGGAGTATTTGCCATAGGTGCCTAGCTTGACAGGCAAGATTGCCACCGCAGTTTTTTTTTTTTAATTTTTAGTTTTTATTAGGAAGACACTGATTCCCATCTACTGCTCTGTTTCCATGTGTCGCCTCTTACGTACCCACGAGACGTTATAGGGTAGTGGATATGTTTACATTGCTACTACACTAGATCACTATTTCCAGCCCGAGCTGTAAGTCCGTATAAGTCCATGATACAGAAGAAATATGTGGTAGAGCTACGCTGTAGTAATATTATATATGTAGCACGAATGGGTTCGTTCGACCGGGGCAGGACCATGCTCTCACAGAATACCAGCGTAAAATAGCAGCGTAATGCTGCTGTGTTTCATGTGGTGAGTGTAGAAATCAACTTTTTACTGGAATCGAGGCATTCCGTGTTAGTCCTCAGGGGTGACAACAAATATGCATTTCGATTCCTATTTGACGATAAATGTGGATGTCTATGGGCCACAGCATCCACTTACTATCAAGTGGACTGGTGCTCGTTTGTCGCCAAATGCTATAAAAAAACTAGATTGGGATCGTTTTACGGTATGTGGCTACTTCAGTCCACGGACACCTGCAACTTTAGGAAAGAAGACTACCTCTGTACTCTCTGGTCACCTTGAGGACTAAGATGGAATGCCTCACAGCATGCAATTATACTGGTTCTCTTGACTCTTCAGAGCGAAACACAACAGAGTAAACTATGGTTAACGACATTAATAACGGTAGAAATTGGTGATAGGGTGGTATCTGCGCGGATGGAATCCTTGTTAAAAAAGGCGTTCTGCCACCTAGAAGGGCTCGTCGCGGCGCTATTGGACTGTGACAGACTGGAGGGGAGTAGACATAGGGTTTTTTGCTGATACAGAACAGTCTGTCATTTTTTGCGGGGGGAAATCTGAACACACAAAAACTATCGTCTGTCACTACATAACTCACATGTTTTATACGTGGTAGAGCCATGCTGTAGCTATATTATTGTTGTGGCACGAATGGGTCAGCTGGACGGGGGTAGGACCACGCTCTTACAGAATACCAGCGTAAAATATTAGCTTAATTATGTTGCGTTTCATATGGTGAGTGCAGAGAACCGGAGACGCTTTTTACTGGAAATGAGTCATTCTGTCTTAGTCCTCACGGGTGACAACTCATCTGCATTTTAATTCGTAATCGAGGATAGATGTAGATGTCTATAGGTCACACCAACCACTTACCATCAGGTGGACTGTGTGCTCGTTTGTCACCCTATCCTATAAAAACATATAACAATAAAAATATAAGCTAACGATTTCACACAAATAGATACATTATAACAGTATCACTATCGGTCGCTCAACCGATCTGCATATTGTATGAAAGCGAGCGGCCTGTGTCGGTAAACAAATCCGAAACAATATGACAGTAAATTTTAAGTACAAAAATAAGTAGATAGCAATAATGTGATTAAAAATTACTCATATTTTAAAGGTAATGTCATCTTTTTGTAAATTTGACATGGCAGATCTCTTTTTGCAGCAAAAAAAAAAGTGAACAATTTGGCATTTTTGTAGAACGTCAAAACAGCCGTGTAAATTGTACGCGTAGGACCGCGTGGATTTATACTTTGACAGAGGGGAACGCCTGCGTATGGCTCTCCCCACTCCTGACCCTACTCCCCTCCGGCTGGCAATGACCCGTGTCTTTCTATGATTACAAGCGTTAACGAAACGAAGTCTAAATCACAATATGAAAATTTTGAACCTACTTAGGTATATAGAGAACAAATTTCACACTGCCACATAGAGTGTTGGCTGCGCCCGGCTTAAAAACCTCACCCGGTGAGAGATTTCCGCTTTTCCTTACATGATACTTTTCATTACAAATGGTGAAGAATTCTATTTTAACACTATCCGAGGACAACTATTGTGATATATGTTTTTTTTTAGAAAAACAAATCAACGTCAGAATTGAAGAGCTCACCTAAAAATTATGCTTCGAGCTTCTCCTCCGGACCTAAAAGCGATGACGAGGCGGCACATGGATCGCCTAGAAACAGGTAAATTCACTACCCTATCGACGTATATTTCTTTACATCCGCGACATCCTAGTAAGTAATGTAAACCATATAGTGGCGATGTAAGAATATCCACTATCCCATATCATCCCGTGGGTGTCGTAAGAGGTGACAGAGAGGAACAAATCAGGAGATGGGCGGCAGCGTCTTATAACAACTCAAAATAATAAAATCAGCACAGAGCCGTTCGAATCGTCGGCGACCGAGCTCTTTCTGATCGGCTTGACTCACTGGCACTGCGAAGAGATGTTTCCTCTCTTTGCGTATTTTATCGCATTTACCACCGGGAGTACTCTGAGGAATAGTCGGACTAATTCCAGCCACACAATTTTACCATCGCACATCGCGACAAAACTCGCGTTACCATCCATACCATCTGAATGACTAGCGGTCCACTACTATGCGATTTAAAAGAAGTTTTCTTCCTCCCACAACTTCCTTGTGGAATCGACTACCACCAGAGATTACTACGGACCGATAAGACTTAGGGGCCTTCAGGAAAAGAGTCTTTTTCAAAAGGCCGGCAATGCATCTGCAATTCACCATATACATACATATTGAAAAGGAACTCAGGTTCGGGCGTCCTCTCAATCGGCCGCGAAGGACCAATTGAAAAGGACCAGGTCGGTGTCCCTCTTGATCCTGAAAAGGACCAATTGAAAAGGACCTAGCGGATCGGGTACTAAGAAACAGGAATCGAGGCTTCTCTCGATCCGGCCTCCTATCACGCCTACGTTGGGTTCGGGAACAACGTATGTGATCTCCGCAACGGAGTAACACACTAGGGCGATAACCTCTTCCTTTTCAGCAAGTAGGTTCAGACGGGGATTACGGGTCTTCCGAAGTCGTCCCGGTCCCGACGCCTTAATTCTTCGATGTGGACTGTATAACTTAAAGGATCTTGGGAATGAAACAGCAATTATCTTCAAACCGTTCCGTGAGAGAGTAATCACTTTTCCCTATACTGCTGGTTTTTCACTTTTCTTGAACTTTTTCCCGGATTTTCTTATTTATTTCCGAACTATTTCCGAACTTCCCCGAAGGATTCCCGAACGATTCCCGAACGAATTGCAATAAAACCCGTTCACTAAGCTACCCCAGAGCTATACGCGAAAGTGAGCCGCGCCATTCGCGCGCTTGCGCAACTCAATTACATGAATTTGTTCTATTACTCTCTCACGTTTTACTCAATATCTTTATTTATTCAAATCATATACAAATACAATTTATCAATATAGGTAGTACAAAACAATATCTACACCATGATATACATCATATCTTCATATCATAAAAAACCTTTTATTTATTAAACGAAAACTGCCTATTTTACTCACAAGTTCGAAATCGAAATTTCTTAAATATTTAACACAGAAAGTTAAAACAATGTTTCTCACTTGAATTTATACATAAGCTAACCAATACAATAGTTTAATTTACATTTTTTCTATTTATTTCACTATTTAAAACACTTTTAAATTTCTTATACAAAACTATCATTATTTCACTTATACACAGGAATTTTCACATGAAAATAACACAGAATTTACCTTTTTAGCACGTACAATTAACCTGAAATATTTTACAAGTAATTTTTACATAAATCACTGAATTACAAACATTTTAAATTTTTACATATTCGGCCTCCTAAGGGCGTGGCTTGGCGTGCGTCTATGAACTCACACTATTTGAACAACTAACTTTTGCACGGCTCTCGGCTATCAGAAAAAATTAAATTATGAAATACACCAATTTTGACCATATTAGGCAAATTAAATGCTTTTATACAATTTTCGAACTGTATGAAACTATCTTTAATCAGATAACAATATAAATGAATGTTCTCATTAATCAATCATAACAAATAGGCATTTGTTTTCGTACAAAACGTATCAAACTTATACAAAACAACATTTATGCAATTAATATCCATTAATTCTGCCTATGCACAGAGTGATTATCTCGACCGGGGAACAAATCCGGTAACATAATTTATATCTTAAATTCCTTACGAATTTATTAAGCGATATTACTTAGGAAAACAAACAAACTAGTCCGGCCTGGGAGTCGAACCCAAGACCTTCATATCATTAATTCGACATTTCTTAAAGATTTAACTAAGCATTCTCTTATCAGAGCGTCGTTGCTCGTGACTGCCCCTTTTTTCATAGCAACGTCATCGGTTGATTTAATAAACTGAAACATTTTTATAGGCGCGTCGCCAACAATCTCCCCCCCCCCCGTGCGTTAGCACCATCATTTGGGAGGCGTCGCGGGTACCAGGACTATTATTCTGGATGTAGGTCTCCTCAAGATACCTGTGCTAGTAATGACGTCAACCACTCTGGTGTGACCGTCTGGTCCCGGTAACGTTCTACTAATTTTACCTTTTGGCCACGTATTTCGTGGCAACGAATGATCTATTATCAAAACAATATCGCCTTCTTTAGGTTCCATGAACTTGCCGTTATCACCTGTTCGAGGTATTAACGTAGGCATGTATTCTTTCAGCCATCTTGTCCAAAAATGGTCGGCTAACCTCTGTGCAGCTTTCCAATTGAGTTGACCCGTCAGATGTCGCTCTAAAAATAATCCAGGTGGTCGATCACCACATGAGCGTCCCAGAAGAAAATGATTGGGTGTCAAACCCTCTTCAGGACTATCCATACTGAATGTTACCAGAGGTCTGGAATTTACCGTATGCTCTGCTTCTAAAAGTAACGTATGTAGAACCTCCTCTCGTGGGCTCTTCTCCTTAAGCGTAGCGGTCAACGCAATTTTAATCGATCTTACTAACCTCTCCCAGGCGCCACCCATGTGCGGTGCTCCCGGAGGTATAAATTTCCATTTAATATATTTCTTAAATGACTCGTTTTTCATGCCCTCATAGCATTCTTCGCATGCTTTCAATAATTCTTTATTTGCAGCTTTGAAATTTGTCCCGTTATCGCTGTATATAACGGCTGGTTTTTCCTCTTCTGGCGATAAATCGCCTTAACGCCATTATCATTGACGCTGGTGTCAATGAGGCTGCTAATTCCAGATGTACTGCTCTGGTGGTCAGACACGTGAATAAAACGCCCCAACGTTTTTCGTGTCGCCTTCCTATAGTCACACTCATAGGACCAAAATAATCTACAGCTGAGCATGTAAAAGGTGGCTCATGATGAGCTATTCTTTCCAGAGGAATATTTCCTTGTGGCACGTTTTGCGGCTTTGACCTGTATGTCCTGCACCACTGGCAATGGTGTGACACACTTCGTACTACATTACGCAAGTTCAAGACGTAAAATTTCTGGTTCACCTCATTCATCACCGTCTGGTGATTGGCGTGTCCAAAATGATGATGAACTTCTCTAATCATCATTTTAACGATTTCGTGTTTACCGTCTAATATGACAGGTTTTCTACTTTCCTCGGTCAAATTAGACTTGAAAGGTAAACGTCCATTTAAACGGAGTAAGTTATCCTCTCCTATTTCCATAGATAATTTACTTAAGCGTGAACTTCTTTCAACGCTTTTGCCTGCTTTCAAACATTTTATTTCCGAATGAAAACACTCGTCTTGAATGAATTTCCAAATTAATATTTCCGCCTTTTTTCAAGAGCGCTGTGTCCAACGCGCTATCGGGTCCTTTAACCGACTTTGCTAAAACTTTGTTGGAACACATAACCGACTTTTTCGGTTGCGTCGTCGGGTCCTTTAACCGACTTTCTTAAACTCTTGAATTTTTCTACCGCTTGTAAGGTGCGTGTAGTTGCTCCAAGGAATTTCTTAAAGCTGCTAAATCGTCCGTAGTCGGGTAGACTTAACGGTTCTTGCTTTCTTAACGTATTTACGCCCTTTGGCGATTTTTCTTCACCTGTTTCTAAGCTATTTATGGTGTCCACTTGTTTGGGCCATAAATCAGGACTTTTCCTGAGGAATTCAGGTCCTTGAAACCAGCGATGACTTACATCGAAGGTGGAAGGAAAATTTCTAGTGGCGTCGTCTGCCACGTTTTGTGACGTTGGAACCCATCGCCATTCACATGGCTTACTGTGATCTTCGATCTCAGCCAATCGATGAGCAACGAATGGTTTAAAAGCGCGAGGATCCGACTTAATCCACGCTAACACTGTACGTGAGTCTGTCCAAAACACTCTCTCGGACATCTCGTACTTGCTCTCTTCACTAACCGAAGCAGCCAGTCTGCTGCCCATAAGAGCTGCTTGCAATTCAAGCCTTGGAATCGAAATTGGTTTCAATGGCGCTACTCTTGCCTTTGCGGCGATCAGCGTAATCCGCCTTATTCCTTGCTCGTCCGTGGTGACGTAATACACCGCGGCAGCGTATGCTTTTTCACTAGCATCCGTGAAAGTATGTAACTCTCCTTTGCCGATGCCTTCAGCAACGGGTCTAGGTACTTCTAAGTGACCTAATTTCTTCACTTCCGATATCCATTTACAAAATAACACGTGTAACTCGTGTGAAACTTCTTCATCCCAAGAGATGCCTGTCCTCCATACTTGCTGGATCAGCGACTTCCCTTGAATCGTTATGGGTGATGCGAGTCCCAAAGGATCGAAGACTGACATCACAGCGCTAGTTATCTCCCTCTTCGTAGGCGGTCGTAAACCCTCCATCACCTCTTCCGGTGTGCTACGAAGACTTGTGGAAAAAACTTATTATATCCCGTTTGATATTCCAAATCAAACCTAACGTGCGCTCTGTGTGCTCTTTATCTCCAAGCGAAGCACTGTCGCTCTTATATTTATTTTCCATATTACTTAAAACTTCGGGTCGGTTGCTAGCCCATCCCCTCAGTTGGAAAGAAGCATGCTTATGTAATTCATACATATCGTTTACTATCCTTTCGGCCGTCGTCACGTCGGGAAATGCCTGTAGGTAATCATCCATATAAAAATTGCTTTCCGTAGCGGAAGCTGCTTCTGGATAGATATGTGCGTTGTCCTGCGCATTTCTATTCTTTACATATATAGCG